CAACCATTTTAGTAAGGTAGGGACTCCTCTTGTTTGTTTTTGGTGCTTGTTGGGGATAAAACTTGTGTGGGATCCAGTCATGCTGTCTATATGAAACTAGGCAAACCATGTTAACATCTCCTATTAATTTCTTTGTATCCATTGAGTTTATGTCACCTTTCATTTCAAATTAGCAAACTATAATGTTTGTTTCACTTCGAGGTGTGAAACTAGTCAGTTAAAGAAATGATTTGAGTTGTTGGTGAGCGAATAATTTACTAAGACGATGACCAGTAACTATTTGTATGATTAGGCACATTGGGATTTGGAAACGTGCCAAAACTCAGGAAAGAGGTAGCAATGGCGAATTTTTTCGCAATGAGTGAATGTGTGGAGGTAGAAATGAACTGTAGAAGTGTTACAAACTGTATCTAGTTTTTGAAACATTGGTGTACACGTCTAAGTTAAGGAAAAAGAAATTTCATGTGTTGAATAGTAAATTCACTTCTTTTATAGTCTCTTCTATTTTAAATGACTTTGGTTAAAGAAACATGAGCGGGAATTTTAGTAAGAACTTTTCCTTTGAACCCACTAGTTAAGTAACTTCAACACTAAATTATTTTGCCAAGAGGTCCCTACTATCCCTTTTACACTAATCCACGTGATTCTACAATAAATTCGTACACAATTCAATTGCCTTAGATAGTATGTTATTGTTTAATTATATAAAGTTATATAAACCAAACAATTGTATATAAATAACAAAAAGAAAGGTGAAATGACATGTTATTTCAACGTTGCATAAAGTAGAATGCAAGTGTCAAGATGGCACACAATTGAATCGCCTTTTTATCTTAAGAACCGTTGCCCAGAAAAAAGTTTATGATACTAATCTTTATTGCACAATAATAAATAAAATTTATTAGTAAAATCGTCATTATTTTCAATTTTTTGTCTCTTTCGTACTTACTACTATTCATTAACGTACAATTTACTTTACTTCACATACTTATCGTTTATTTAGTAAGATTGATTAGACAAAAGTTGGCAATATTTTGTGCGTGTGGTGTGTATGTGCGCGCGCGCATGGAGGAGAGAGACAACTTCAAATTTATTCATTGTACTACTGCAGTAAAATGTTATATCACATATCATATATGCGCTTATTTAAAATTGCTTTTCGTTTAAAAATGTGTAATTATACCCTTAACGTGCATTCACAATATGGTGGCCCATCTCGAAATCCGACTACTCAATTTTAGATTTTTTTTTCTTTTAAACTCTGATAGTACATTTAGTATAAAAGTTTCGTCTTGGAAGGTAAAAAATAGTGAATTTGTTACTCATTGTTTTCATATTTGGTCTAATTTGTCCTCTACATATCAAAGACTTTCACATGGTATAGGACCCATGTCGATATGATACCACAACCTAATCCTGTTCAAATTTGAATAGAGGGCATCCAATTTTTTGGTATAGATTATTGCATGACAAAAGTTGGCAGGTAAGACTATTAGTTAATTATACTGAATTCGAAATTTTATTACGTTATTTTCATATCCAAAACTAAACTAATATTATCATAATAATATATATGAAAAAATTGACACCAAAAGTTTATAGCTAAGATTTTTTTTTTAGTACATCATTTTTGTAGTAAATATTTTAGTCTATTTTAATGAGAAATAAATATTGATAAAAATATGATTAACATGAATCACTCTCTACAAAAAGATTAGAAAAAAAATAATTTTTTATAACTAATAACAATTTATTTTTGTGAGTTTTGTCTAAATTAGAATTAACAAAAAGAAATATAATCATAAATATAGCATTAGAAAAGGGAAAAATTGAAAATTTATGTTAGGGTGGGATATTTTTGAATTTTCTAAAACGAAGCAGCCGTCTCTGTTTTTAATTCACTCCTTTCTCTATATAAAACTATGGATAAATATATATGTACGAACACATTGTTACAAAATGGATTACTTACTCTCACAAAAGAAGTGGACCCTACATGAATTTAAAAAATATTGGCTTGTGATCCCCACCCCTATTGTGAGTGTAAGTAAAGCTTTTTACAAATTTGTGTATACATCTAGCATGGTCTATAAAACTATATATTCGATATGTGCACATCTTATACATGAATTGTATGAAAACTTGAACATGTACCTTTTGTCTTACCATCAAAAATAGCTTAAGATATTTAATGAAAAAAAAAAGGAAAAGAAAAGAAAAGAAAAAAAAAAGCGAGAATCGATAACGAACGACTAAACGAGGAAGTTTCCTACCATATAGTCAGCACATTGTATTTGTTTGTTGTGAGGAATAAATCAACTGTTCAAGACTATTCTTTTACCTAAAGAAACTGAGAAAACAACTACAGAGGTGTTTCCCCCTCACACAACATCCATCTGAAAGTAGAAATATAGGATAAAAAATAAAATCATGCTACAAGTACAGAAAAAATTAATAGAAAACTTTGAGCATGACGAGAATTGATTGAAAGATGAAAAGAGAAAAAAATAAAACAATCCAATCATCTGTCGCCACTTCCACATCGATAGAAATTCTATCAAGAATTCTCTGTACTGATAACTTTTTTTAGAAAAAGAAAAAAAAAACATTGGACTTGTCAATAATTAAGTACCCTTTAAGATATTTGCCAGGATTTGATCAGACATGCACCACTGTTGTACACACTGTTAAACAGAATGACACTTCTTTTTTCAGTGAATTTATCATACTGCGCCTCTTTTTTAGATTTGAAAAGTTAGTCTGTTTTTCATTTGATTCAACAGAATGAATGAACTTGTCATGAGTCATGAATGGTTTCTTAGCGTTCAGAGTTCAGGGATTTAAATCGAAGTTTGATAGAACTCAACCTTAAAACCATTTCGTAATTAAAAGATCCAAATATGCTTATAAACCCACAAAACGACCCCTCTTCATTATCGACATTCACAACAGCTTATATTTCACCAAGTTTATAATGAGAAGGTGGACCATGCTGGTCAGAAAAATCAATAAAATTCATACATTTGCATGGATGCCGCCTGCTTTTCAAAGGTTGGGGACCAGTAAGGTTGAGGACGTTTGAAGTAATTTACCCTCTCCTTTTCAATTCATCATGTTCTCCACTCCAATTGATATTCTTTCTGAATCTATCTAGTGTTACTTTTTCAATAATACCCCTGCTAGCTGACGTTGAGCAAGTCATTTCTTAAAACACTAATTAAACTCGAACTGACCAGGCTATATATTTCGAGGAACGGTCTAGTTAGAGCCTGAACACTGGGATGAAACCTGGTTACTCGACAAGCTCTAACATGACATATTAGCATGAGGACCCTACTGGTACAGATGATGAGTAGGTTTAGAATACTTCACACACACCCAGAAAGCAATATATAGCAAATGTTTTCTCCAAATACTTAAACATCTATTGAAACCCAAGAATAAGTATTCCAGAACCCTAATAATAATGAAAGGGACAAGTGTGACGAAGAAAAATTGCCATTAATTAAGTGTGAAAGAGCAGCTGATGGTAGAGTGATTACTTTAACTACAAGAAGAGAAGCTACAAAGAGACATTTTACCTATCCCAAAACTTGACATGCATGTTTAGTCTGCACGGGAATGTAAAATATT